TACTTTAAATAAATATGGGACACATTATTTTTTCAGAGTCTTTTCCTAACAAATGCCAGTGGCCTGTCAGTTCTGGAGATTTGTGCATTGAAGGACATGGGGGCATTTTATTACCAGTTTATTTCTGTCTCTCCTTCTGAAGCTCCTGCTGGTGCTTTGAATCATACAGGGTATGTTTCAAGGGTTGAATACATGAACTCCACTGTCACCCATGACTTTTAAAATAATTTTTAAAGCTAATAAATGTTAAGGGAAGAAAGCATTCAACTGGACAGAAATGTGTTTTCAAACTGTGAGTCTCTAAGCTGTGGTGTGGGAAAAAATGTCTTCCAAATAACTAGCTTTTTGTACTCTTGTTGATATCTGGTCAATGGAAAGCTAATGTGTTTTTCCAATAGAGTGAGTAAACTATACTTATTTATAAGCAGCATTAGTAAATAATAAATACCCACTTCTTAAGAATGATTCTCCTCACTGAAAAAAAATTTATTCTTAGTTTCTGCTGCATGGGGTTTTTTCTTTTCAAATGAGGGCAGAAATGTTTTGGAGGCTGTGGGGGAACCTCAAACAATGTTTTCAATACAGTAGCATTTTCTGTGTCTCTTATTTCTAGCTGAATCCTTTGTGTGAATTGGTTTATTATAGTGAAGCACAGCTGCCGCAAATATAGAACAGGGGCTTGAAGGTAAAGTAATGCCAAATACAGAAAATAGAGGTTAAGCTGGACATTGTCCCTAAAATCAAAACAATATCTAATTCCCAAAATGAACAGATTCTCGTGGATCTTGGATTGTCATATTCAAACTGTTCTTGGATTATGGACTTCTTGTCTGGACATTCCCAGAGGGTTAGATTAGGTAATCATACCTTTTCAGCTCTTACTCTCAACATTGGGATGCCATAGAATGTGTGTTGAGTCCTCTGCTTTATAATTTGTACATATGATTGCTCCATAGCAATATCATTACCAGATTTGTGGATGATACAACAGTGATGGGTTTTATGAGGCTGTTTTTATTGCTTGTACTGTTTTATCATTGCTTATGTAGTGTTTTTAACTATGACTTATGTTCAATTGGGATTGTATTATTTGAATTGTTTGTATTGGCATCATATCAGTGCCTGTTGTAAGCCGTCCTGAGCCTCCCCCTGGGGGATAGAGAAGTGACAGGGTAGAAATACCAGAAATAAATAAATAAATAAATAATTTTATATCTGAAGGGGATGAGTCTGCCTATCAGGATAAGGTGGATCAGCTGCTCGTGGTGCAGGGACAACAATCTGGTTCTTAACATCAATAAGACCAAGGAGCACATAGTGGACTACAGAAAGAATAGATCAGAAATTCAACCCTTGGTCATAAATGGAGACCAAGTGGAGTAGGTGTCCAGTTTTAAGTCCTTGGGTGTCACTGTTAAGGAGGCATGTAAGACATATCTGTTTCTACAGGCCTTTGATCTTTGATATTGCTGTTTTTAAATTGTTTTTAAATTGTGTTCGATTTTAGCCTGTTCTTGTAAGCAGCTCCGAGCCCCAGGGGAGTGGCGGCATACAAGTTCGAATAATAAATAAATAAATAAATAAAGCAGCATTGGTTAAGAGGTCTCAGCGGAGATTGTTCTATCTAAGACTTTTAAGTAACCAACAACTCAATTAAAAACTGCTAATGACTTTCTACCACTGTGCTATAGAGAGAGTGTGTCCTAACCCATTGCATCTACACATGGTTTGGTAACTGCACAGTGGCAGATAGGAAGGCACTCCAAAGGGTCACCACTACTGCACAGAGAATCATTGGTTGCCCTCTCCCTTCTCTGGAAGAATTTTATAGATTCTGCAGCCTTATGAAAGCTCAGGACATTCTTAAATACCCATCTCACCTGGCAATTGTTATAAAAAAAAAAACCTTATTATCACCTGGCAGATAGTACAGGGTGACAAAGACAAGGCCAAAAAGAATGAGAGATAGCTTTTATTCTAGAGCTGTAACTATACTGAACTCCATGGTTTTGCATTGACATGGCATTGGAGGCTGTAGGGTGGTGGCTGGAGTGTGGAGGGATGGTTGTGTTGCTTTGTGATGTGTGCTGGGAAAAGCATTTCATTTCATTGTACAATATACAATGACAGTAAAGTTATTCTATTCTGTTCCCTCCACAATGTGATATAAGGGATTGAGCAGTGACAGTGTTTAAGACTCAATCTGAACTGTATAAAGGGAACAAGGCAACACTTCTGTGAGCCCCAACAGGAAACAGATCTGTCAGTGGGATGTAAAACCACTCCCCCTGGTGTACTTCTGATACAGTTTACAATGGCTACTGCATTAAGTTATCATTAAAATATTTTTGAAAAATAATAAAATTCAGTCTTGGCATTTAAAAGACATTGCTTTCATCCTTTGATTTCTGAGTGGGTAAGTCACAACCATCCCCACAATGACAAACAAAGTTCAGACAAACACTTTTTATGCAGCAACACATCAAATAATATACCCACCCATTCATCAAGTGAGTGACAGCAATGAGTAAATATCAAAGGAATGAACACATACACGAGAAGCAGGAAACAGATTGTTGACAGTACGTTTGATATGGTACTGGCACTCCATCTATATTAATCATGAGTATAAACTTGTGATGTCCAGATACATATTAGAAATTCTGAATTTTACAGGCATGCAATCTACAACTATAGTGTTCTGCTAACACAGTTTTCAAGAGGTCTGGAATGCCTCCATATCCCATTGAGGCAATAAATAGGAACTGGAGGTTTGACATCACTAGATGTAGAACAATGGTTCCCACCTTTAGTTTCCATGTGCTTTGAACTTCAACTCCCAGAAGTTCCAGCCATCTTAATCAGTTGTAAGGAATTCTTGGAGATGAAGTCCAGAGCACCTGGAGGGCCAAAATTTGGGAACTACTGATGTAAAGGAATGGGCAACAGGCATCTAAACCATAAACACAATCTTAGTTACTTTTTCTTGTTTTCCTCTTCCATTTAATTTCTTCTTTCTTTCTCTCTCTTGCTGAATATGCACTGCTTTGTGAATTAGATTATGTTAAAATTAATAGATTTTTAAAAAGAAAGAGAAAAATAATTGTAAGTCAAGCATTTGAGACTGGTGGCCTCTGTCAATGGTGAGGTGAGTCCATTTGGGGCTGTATTCCAAACTTTCAAAGGTACCGAACCTCTTTTTGGGAGAGGAGATAGGTTCAGCACCTTGGATAGCTCATCCAAAGATTGAACTAAAACCCAGAGCATCATTCTTATCCTTTTGGCATGGAAACCAGTGGCTACCATTGAAATCGAGTTCAACCAAACATCTGAAATTACCGATAAATGACATTGAAGCGATCACCAGATTGTTTTCATGCAGACTGGCACAATTGCCTTCTAACAACAATAGCCAGAGTTAAAGATATAGTGACTGAAAAAGGATTTCTGTTTCACTAACAACAAAAGATTGTAGTTTAGATAGTGGATGTTATCTGATATCCCGGCAAGAAGAACAGTTCTTTGAAATCAAAAGAGTCTCTGAAACCAATTTCAGGTCTCTGAGTTGCAAATGAAAAAAATGTGTTAGTAATATTTAGGAATTGTTCTTTTACTACACACATACTCGCACACGCATTCCTTGTAATAAGAAGAGGTGTGTGTCTTGCTTGGGAATAATGACTAGATGGACAAAATTGTTCATTTTTTGTTGTCTGGCAGTTCTGCTGGTTTCACTACAAAAAGTAAATCACAGTTGTGTCTGGTGTGGGGGCATATGTGTCTTTAACTTGGTATTTTCCCATTTATTTACAACATCAGAGTACATTATTCATGCTGATTCAATAGCATTTTATAATGTGAATAAAAGTCTAAGTCAGCATCTGAATGTTAAATATTAGAACAGAAGAAGCAATAGAGGAACCACGATACAAAAAAAATATTACAGTGGTATACAAATAAATAATTTTTAAAAGACTGAATACAAGGGAGGGAGAAATCATTCCAATATGAGGGGAGCAATTCTACTGAATTTGCAGAATTTATAAATGCAGATGGGAAAATTGTTTCCAGGAATCGGAGACAACGCTGTTTTTTTCCCTACTGGAAAATCTGACAAAGTAGAAAAAGCCACTGGAATAACCTGCTAAATACTGGAGACACAGTGCCCAAAACATATTTTTATAATAACAAAATTTCTGTTTAGATTTCAAAGTCAGATGTCCTCACATCTCTTTTGATTATTCAGAGTAAAGCTACTGTGTACAAGAAGAGTCTCGTTTCATTTCTGAGTTAAGTATTATGGCTTTCCTGGCAGAGAGCCACAAGCAATTTAACGGACTTGTTTAATGTGCATGCGATGGGGAGGATATGCGAAAGAGTCCAGAAAACTTTTATCAAGTGTTGAGTGAAATAAATATCTATGCATAATTTAAACATTCATGTTGCTGCACATGCATATTAAAGATCTCATCTGTAGTTAGACCAGTTGTCAGCATTATCAGAAGAGTTTATTCCACCTTCTGAAATCAGTTAACACTGGATAACTTTGCTTTGCCAAAAGACCAGATTAGGGTTGGAAGTAAGGATCATCAGCTGTCTATCTCCGTAGTCCACTCAGAGTCACCCGTTGGGACATAGAACTACCTACAGAATGTTAACAAGAGAAGAAGGCATTCAGTGATTGCTTCTTTGCCATTAGTATTGTGGCCGGCGGTATTCACCACAGAGATTACAAATTATATTTTCCTATGGGCTAGATCAGCTAGCAGTACTGGCTGCTGTTAATAGTTGCCTTTATCTTCCTGCTTAACATGTAGTTTGGGGATTTTCTCAACCATGGATCATTTTCTCTTCCTGAGTTAAAACTCTAGTCGTGATATTCTAATTAGGCCAAAATGGAGATGGGACTGAGACATTTTTAGTCCTTCAGGACTCTGAATTTGCTATTAGGAATCACTTTGGTTGATCTTATCAACATGGTGTATCCTGTTTTGTTATAGGTACATTACAGTGACAGACAAAATGGAAAAGAATGCATGACCTGTTTGACATTGTCTCCTGTGCAGATGACTGTCCATGGTATTGGAAGCACCACTGAAGACAGCCACGATCAGGTACAAATAGACTTAATTGGCTACTTGTTTCAAAATTTTTGGCTATTAGTTTCTACAAATTGTGCCAAAGAGAGCATTTCAATATCACAAATAGATATTTTAGGCATATCAAATAGTTGTTTTTAAAAATGTATGCAGAAATTAGGCAAAAGAGATTATTTGCTATTATTTTATTATTATTATTTGACGTAAAAGCCAGAGCATCTTACTACTTTTTTGTATTAAAATCCAGTATTAAGATTATTTGTTGTTTTGACACATAGTAGTGAGCATTTCAGATCTAATACTTCATATGCTGGCTGAGTAGTTTGTAGCCCTTATACCACTTCAGAATTGCCTAAGGATTCTTGTACTCTCTGGAAACCATAGACTTCCTAAATAAAATAGGCCAGGTATTTACCCTAAAGGTATCAGATCCTGTTGAATCTTGAAAGCTAACAAGAATCAGTCATTGTTATAATTAGATATTAGACCACCCAGAATGAAAGTTGTGAACTTTAGGAAGAAGGAACTGGCAGAACCACCTTTAAGTATTCCTTGCCTAAGAAAACCTTATAAAGTCCATGGAGTCTCCATATATCAACAGGAGGCCTGAAGATGTTCCTTTCAACTCACATTTAATCTGAATCCACAGTGACGACTAATTAATCGTATTTGAACACCTAAATATTACATTTATATTAAAAGATGCATAAGTCAGTAAAAAAAGTAAAGCTTTCCCCTTGACATTGAGTCAAATCATGTCTGATTCTGCGGTGTGCTCATCTCCATTTCTAATCCGAAGAGCTGGCGTTGCCCATAGACACCTCCAAGGTCATGTAGCTGCATGGAGCACTGTTAGCTTTCCACCAAAGAGGTACCTATTGATCTACTCACATTTGCATGTTTTCAAACTGATAGGTTGGCAAAAGCTGGGGCTAACAGCAGGAACTCACACCGCTCCCAGGATTTGAAGTGCCGACCTTTCGGTCAGCAAGTTCAGCAGTTCAGTGGTTTAACCCACTGTGTCACCGGGGGCTCCGCATAAGTCAGTACAAGAAGCAAATATATAGAAGTATAAATCAGTGGAAGAAGAAAAGGATTACTGAAAAACTGAAGGTTTAGATAAATCAAAGATAAATTTTGATTGAAAAACATATTTCCGGAGAATAAATTATGCATTTTACATTTATTATGTCCTTCCCTTCCCCTTTGGTACTTTATTTATGCATTTTCTCATATGTAGAACTCTCCGAACCTATTGAGCCATTTAATAACCTTTGAGTCTTGAATTATTTTAGTTGCCTTTACTCTGGACAAAGTTCATCTCCTTTCAGCTTTTCATCATAAGATAGTTGTTTTGGCTATTAATCATTCTGGTTGCTCCCACCACATATGAAAAAGAATATTCCAGAGATAGTAAGGAATACAAATCTCTAGACCAAGAAAGCATCCACATTTGAATCTCTTTTTGTAGTTTTATGTTATATAACATCTCTACATCAGCTTCTTAATCTGAGGCAGCTCGTTATAAAATGGCATTGTGATTCATTTGCAAGTTCTTTCTTAATCATGCCTAATATTTTGGTTCTTTTACAACCTTTCACACTGAGGTCATTTTTAGACCTCTTGATGCATAAATTATGCTGGTTTATGCTTTAAGAAATTTTTATGGCCTTCTGACATCTCATGGCATTTTGCTGATCTACCAGTGTTCAGAATGGTAGCTCCATCATGCTAACTACAGTGATAAATACAGGATATATATCTAAGATATTGTTAACTCACCAGAAAATTTTTCAATGACACTTTTGGCTGTCAAATTGTAAGCTGCAGATTTAAGGAATTTCACCTTTCACCATGCAAAATCTAGCCTTTAGTCATTATGTTTCAGTTATGATAGTCATCCAGTATGTTTTACATATGCCTAGCAGATTACAGTCTGTTATTTCTGATTGCCAGCCCTGCTCCTGGTACGGTTATATATAAACCATAATACACCAACCCTGTTCTTGTTCTTTGTCTTCTGTTTCATATTAAGTTAATTTCTCTATTGCTTCATGTATAGGAAATGTATGACAGCGTATTTGCATTTCATTGGGAACAGCTAAGCTTTCTCTGGCACGAAGCATACCAAAACTATCCATTTGTATAGAATTTAATATCTCTTCTGCACCAGTGCATTATTAATTACATCCCATATGCATTTAGAATGTAAATCAAGGGGTTTAGAGTTAGACTGCAGGGGAGGTAATGCTACCAATCCGTAAGTCTTTCCTGTATCATCGTAAGAGCTAGGTAAACCCAATGCATATGTACAACATCCATCGCACTGTCCTTTCTGTCAACAGTAATGTGAGGTGCAAGTAGGAAAATACACAGCATGATGAAGTTTGTCGTTCCTTATGTGGAATGAGGAAGAAAGTATAGGAGGCATTGGAGGGCAGTAGCTCTGCATTTCTCAAAACATCAGCTGAATGTGTATGCAACAAGAGTTTGGGATTTTAAGACATATTTTTTGTAATGTATTCACTTCCTAAAAATTATGGTAGGGTTGAATGATTATTACTAAATCTCCATGGTTTTTTTTTTTAATTTGGTGTTCAATATGAGCAAGGAATGCTTCATCCTAATTTAAAGTAGAATCCTCATTTGCACATTTAGCCACTTTGATTGGGAGTTACTTAACTTCTCTCAAAGGATTGACTGAAAACTATTTTTATAAGATCCATCTCTAGTGTCTGGATTTACCACAAAGTTTTAATCTAGATGGGAGAATGCTGTCTGGAAGAAAACATGTTAGTTCACCAAGTAAGAGAACAGTCACAGAATTAGGTCTTTCTTAGCCCCTGTTGATAATTTATCCCTGTAGATAATTTATCCCTGTAGCCAACTGGCATCCCAAGTGACACATATAAAAAAACACTCTAAGCTATTGAAGGTATCCAGGCCTGCAGTTAAAAGATACGATTCAAGAGTACCTACAAGTTGTACAATTGATACAGCGATATATTAATTATATTATCATTAATTGTGAGCAACGCTGCCAGAGTTGGCTATGTTTTTCAGTGGAGCATTTTGCAATAAAAACAAACCCTGGGGATGACATATGTTTAACAGTTGCAAAAACATATTTTTAAATCATTAGATGAACCAGTTATATTAAAACTTCATGAGAAAATATCACTAAGATAATATTACTAGAATTTTGTTTTTTTTTAAAAAAAAATGTTGCCTAGTTTATTAAATAGAGCTCCAATCTGAGATGTTATAGGATTGATCATGGTTGCCCAGTACCAGTCTTCATTATTGCTGAGTTTTGATCAAGCTTATTTTGTTATCCATAAAACAATAAAGATACAGGCGTCCATTTTAGTTTAATGAGTAATGGATAGTTGCTGGGCTCATAAATAACTTGTTTCTATTCAGTGCTCTCAGCAAAAATTTAAATAGACTTCTTTTTAAAAAATAATGTTTGTTTACTCATAACTTCATATATTTAAATATACAAGCACATTTCTTGTTAGGTTAAACTTTTAAAACTTTTCAGTTTGTATCTTTCACTTATTGTCTTTTTCAATCTCTTCAGAAAACTATATTGCTCTGTACAGTTCTCTTTCATAAGAGTCTATTTTCAAAGAATTTATGCATCAACAGTTTTCTAACTTCCTACACTGATATCTGACTGAAAAACAGATTTCTGTACTCAAGCTGACTCAAGGCTTAACTGTATTCTAACTTCTAACATTGACTTCTGTATTCTAACTGACTCAAGCCTTAATTGTCATTCCTCAACTGTCAACATGTTTGAAATCATTCCAAACAGTCACATGATCTGCAGCCCCTCTCACTGTTTCAAGTACATAGAGCTAAAGAAACTGCAAACCAAAGAAGACATACATTTCAGGAAATAAAACAACACCTTATTAAACAGGCATAACATTAAATACAGGAGGCTTGAGAAGGTTGTTATCTTCAACCGTTCTAATCATGCCAGGTATTTTGCCCCTCAGAAACCACAGCAGCTGATCGGAATTGTTGGGACCTACTGGCAATAGAAGCAGTTGTGCAGGGACAGATGATCCTGATTAATTATGATGCTGAGATACCTAGTTAAAGCAAATATCAATGATCCCTGCATAAAACGTTTGAAATAGTCTAAAGGATTTCAGCTCAATTCGAAGTCTTGGCTTTAACCTAGAATCCCTTAGAGGCTTGAGCACAGATTACTTAAAGGATCACATAACTGGTCATTCCACAGATATATAAACCTGGTCATTCCACAGATATATAAACCTGGTCATTCCACAGATATATAAACCCTTTTGCCTAGTCCCAACAGACCTCACTACCTCTGAGGATACTTGCCAAAGTGCAGGTGAAACGTCAGGAGAGAATGCCTCTAGACCATGGCCATACAGCCCGAAAAAAACCTACAACAAACCAGATCACATATCTCTCTGTTTCAGAGTTAATTTCAACTAATAAACTAAAACCGTCACAAAAGTTGTTGTGGGTAGCTGGCAGAACATGGGTTACCATGCCACTAACACCTCAGTTATAGAATTCCCCCAAAAGAAAGTAAGGAAGAATGTTTTCTCTTCCTGAAATGGCAAAAACATTGTAATGCCACAAGGGTTTTTAAAGTCAATTTTATTGACACTCTTGTGTTTATTTTAAATGTTATTCTGTGTTGGTTTTAAATGTTATATTATGTGGGTTTTTTAATTGTCTTGATCAAATACGTTTGACATTGTGAATTGAAGAGAAACTGTGGTGTGTGAAATTGCAGAGACACTGTGTGCTGTAAAAATAAATAAAATTTATTTTTAATCCAATAATTTTTTTTCAGCCTTGATTCTTTTAAGAGCTCATCAGAAAATAACCTGGCTAAAAAGTGAAATGATTGATTTTATGCTTTTCTTCTAGAAACTGAAACCATAAAAGTTGGAACAGCCCTTGCACTTTTTAATATCTTCAGGAAAGATAGAAATAGTAGAAGTTGAGAGGATGATTTGTTT